AATTGGTACGAGAAGTGTGATTTAATTTCCTATTTTATTACGATAACTAACTGCACATGGCAATTTAACCCAAATATGGATAAAGCTTTGACAAAAATATCACAATAACCTTTGATCGTTAGCATTGGCAGTTCATTTCGTGTTGTAAATTCCATTTTCCATCATTTCTAGGCATTCAATTATAGACAGGTGAAACCGAATTTTTCGGTATAAGACCAAGATTATGATATGATAAAAAATTTTTTCGTTTCATTCACTTTTAGTTGTCAAACGATTTATTTAGTTAGTTATACATGACGTCTCGTTGCCATTTTTTAAATTTATAAGCAAAAGCAGGATGCATGGATAATTCGCTATCACTCATTTTTAGATTATATATAATTTATAGTGGTAATTTGTATTTTTTTATATAAATGTTCCTTCTTTTGGGAGGCATGTTTCATAAGTACATTTCTTTTAAAAATTACAAATATGTTTCGAACACTTTAAAAAACAACCTGTGGCAATTTGCTATTTTTTAACTATTGTTATCTTCTATTCCTTCTTTAAATGCCATCGAAATTTAAGGTGTTAACTAGGTTCGGCCCGGGTCCTGGTTCATGTACATCGCCTCGATCTCTTTTGCATATCTTCGGCGCACGATCTGTCTACAGGCCTTCATAGTAGGTGTGAGAATTCCATTTTCGATGCTGAATGGCTCGGCAATTAGCCGGATGACTTTGACCTGGAGTAAAACAAAAAGTAAAAGTTGGCGCTAGATAAGACTCAATTTTAAAACTTAATATCTCATTGTCCTTCAAATAGGCAAGAAAAATATATGGTGGGCTTAGAAAAAAAAGTATACTTATAGTCATGGACCCCAACTTTCCAAAGAATTACTTTCCTTTTTAGGAGAAAGAGTTGTTCGAGTCAAGTAACATTCATCATCTTTACATTACACTTTAGATAGAATCTCTTCTCATTATGACTCCATGCAAGATTTTCGCCCTTGATTCAAGACAAACATCAAATGTTACTTTAGTACAAACGACCTTATATACCATTGGACCTCTTGGAACCCGTGACATATTAGATTGCTTGTCTCGTCCTATAAGTCGAAAGGAGCTAGTGACAATAACTCTCTTAAGGTAGTTTATGTTGCAGTCATTCTGATAGTAAATAGGGCTTGTTTGCAGAAATGGCGTTGGGTATCCTCAATATAAGCAGAGTGGATGCTTCCCCGTTCTTTAGGCTGAAGACACAAGTACATGAAAATGATCTGCTTTATGCATTGTTTTGTCTGGATGAGAATATGAGGAGGTTTTTCATGTTTATCATTGCCTTCCATTGACTGATACATATAAGGCGAATTAAAGCAGAAAAATCGTGAATAGAACAGATGTATCTATCCTGACACAAAGTAGACTGATGTGGAGACTTTTATTTCCTATGAAAGTACATGATGAAGAGTTCAGTTCAACCAGAAAGCGTCGGCTGATTCGCGTTGTACTGCAACCGTTTGGCCTTAATAGGGCGTACAGGTTGATGCAGTACATGAGACATCCTTCAAAGGTTCGGACAAAGATGGGCTGGGCTTGCGATCGTCATGTGACGAACACCGTCAAAGCTAAGACTTATTCTTGTAAAAGCCTCAAGTCAACGCTAAAACAAGAATACTAACTGGCTTTTTTCTATATGATATATACATATACTTAAATGCGAAAAAAATATATATACTTATTGCGAGAAGCATTAAAAATAAAAATTGATATATATTAACTACATGTCTAAGTGTAAGTAAGGCTTGATGCAAGATGTAATTCTGACTCCTAAATAGTTTGTTTCCTATTTTTACTCAACCAGCAAACGTTTCTGGTGAGAATGACTCACGAATCTATTAATCATGTACTTTATACGAAATGAAAGTCTTCATATCAATGTTATTTCAGGAGCTGCTCCGAAACCCACATTTTCTTCATATATACAAAATAGATTGGCCATGTACTGCTTCACTCAACAGTTTTACATCATTAATTTTAAAAGGTTATTTAAAAAAAATCAGAATGCTTTATAAACAATCTATTCTTGGGAAATCTATGGGAAATCAGAAATTGAAAGATCATAAGTGCATTTTTTACCTGTTCAAATCCCTTTAGGTCATTCTCTTGCCCGAGACGCCTCATATCCTGAAGGATCAGTTTCTCGGTGCGTGGGTCGGAACAGATCTTGCTCATCGGTACCAACCCGTCCACCGTAAGATCGTCTTCTGACTCCACCTCAAGTTCTCCCTTCAAAGGCCAGTCCCCTTCCCTGCTTGGTCGCTGGGCGGATGACGAATAGTCGTATTGTCGATTTGTAAAGCTTAAAACGTTGGCATCAGAATCGGCAACCAACAGTGCGGCACTCACGCTCTCCTGATCAGGTACCACAATGGCTACAGTATATGACTGAAGGCTATTGCCCTCCACAAATACCTGATGCACAAAACGACTCATTGCATACACCATCTCCACTTTCTCAGGCGCCACATAATCACCTTGCGACAGTTTAAAGATGTTCTTGCAACGATCCACTATTCGAAGGCAACCTTCCTAAGAGAAATGAATGTTAGACGATAAAATGTGAAAATCAGGACAGTTGCATGAAAAAATTGGCGTATGTGGAGGAGATGTAGGGCGTGATGTGAATTCTGTCTTCTTGTAGGCTTTGGCTCTAGAGTCATCAAGAAGGAAGGAATGACTTAATTTCGTGGACAAGAGTCCAAATAGGTTTCGTTTTGTGGGCAGATCCTGAGCCTGAATACGATTTATCTGAAAGCTGTTGAACTTCTAATGACTATTCTATAACCTATCCGTCAGAGAATTTAGAAGTCAGACCCGATATCGTTGTAAAACTTATATGCCGTTTGCCACAGAGGTAAGCCCAATTCAGATGTCAGAACCAACAACTTGTTAAAATCTGGTGAAGTGCATGAATAATTATAAGGAGCTAGTCTGTATTG